AATACCACATAAATTAGAAAAAGGGCCAATTGCATCCTTTTTTAATGATCACTGTTTGTCCCCACAGAACTCCAGAGGCAATATGTCTCCAACAAAGAGGGAGCTTTGGCCATCCAACAGCTCTGTAACCAGAGAAGGAGATCCTGTCATGACCAGGGTGAAGTGCTACTTCAGTGGACTGAAGAGGATCAGAGGGAACCAGAAAATTCATCTCCTATTAAAAAGCTGAGGGAAGCAGGGCCTCCATGGATTAAAGAGGAACAAGAAAGACCAGCATCTCCATTGATCAAAGAAGAAAATGATGAACCTGCGTCTAAATGGGCCACTGAGGAATATAAGGAACCAGATTTGCAACTGATTGAGGAGCAGAATGAATCGGGACCTACATGGGCTGAAGAGGAACCCAAATCTTCAGTAGTTGAACTAAAGGAGGAAATTGATTCTTCACTGCCTAGACATGAACAGTGGCTACCAGAACATTTACCTTCTAGACAGGACCAGGGTGACCTGCTCAGCATTCAGGAGGAAAAGCAGCTAGTCCAGAAGCAGTCCATAACTTTGATGGAAACATTTACTCTTCAGAACCTGGATCTGAGTGAAAGAGAACCAACAACTGAGCAGCTTTCGTTTCATATCTCTCCTAGATTTGAGACCAAAGATCAGGAAGGAAGCAGCTCTATTGTGTCAGAAAGTCAGTCTCAAATTGACACAAAAAAAAAGTCCTTCGAATGTGACATTTGTGGGAGATCCTTCATGAATAAGTCTACAATGAAACGCCATTACAGAACCCATACAGGTGAGAGGCCTTTTCCCTGTAAGACCTGTGAAAAAAGTTTCTCTAGACTTCATAATCTAAAGACTCACATGAGGACCCACACAGGAGAGAGACCTTTACAATGTAAGACATGTGGAAAAGGTTTCTCTTGGATCAGTAGTCTAAAATATCACATCAAAACCCACACAGGCGAAAAACCTTTTCCATGTAAAATATGCAGAAAAAGTTTCTCTCAAATTTGTAATTTAAATAATCACATCAGAACCCACACAGGGGAAAGGCCCTTCTGTTGTGAGATATGTGGAAAAAGTTTCTCTAGACTTTATACTTTAAATGTTCACATCAAAAGCCACACAAGTGAGAAAGTTTGACATTTAAGACATTTAAAAAAAGGTTTTCTTGTGTTAGTAGTTTATGGAGCACATGAGAACACTCACAGATTAGAAACGTTTTACTTGTAAAAGATCGCCTGTGTGGGTTCTAAAAGATGTGGAAAAGGCTATAATCTGATGAGTCGTTTAAATGACCACATCAGAACCCACACAGATGAGAAACCTTTTCCATGTAAGACGAGACCTTTGTTTAATATGTGGAAAAAGCTTTATTGACAGTCATTGAATTTTGACATAAAACAGAAGCACACTAATGATCAGTCCTCATTAAATCAGATTTAAAGATTGAAAATTAAAGTTAAACTGTTTCACTTTTTTGTCTTTTCAAAGAAGAGGCCTCCCAGCATGGCTTTGAGCAGACATAAGCCTCTTTACCACTAAAAATAGTGGGTTAACGTGTTTTTCTGTTGAACTTGTGTTTTTGTAATTTTTTATTTTATTATTACAAGTGATCAATAATAATATTAAAAATGTTAAGTTTATACTGTTTTTTCCTATTCCACCTCTTATAACTTTTAATACTTAGGTAACTTTGCTTGTATTGCATGCATTGCCTGTTACTTTAATTCTATAAATTTACCCATTGTGAGATAAATAAAGGATTAGCTAATGTTAGCCCAATTAGATAACATGTTTTAATGGCATAAATTTACTGGTTTCTTTCAAGGTCTTAATTACACTTTGAGTGGGCTCCAGTAACATATGATACATAATATATATACGTATATATATATACCGGTGTGTGTGTATATATATATATATATATATATATATATATATACATATACATATGTATGTATGTATGTCATGGCTTAACTCATCCATACATACATATACATATGTATGTATGTATGTATGTCATGGCTTAACTCATCCATACTGGACAATGGCATTAGCCTGGAGGGGCTCGCATTATACTCCGCCGACAGAAACTTCGAACTCAGCGATAAGACCCAAGGAGGGGCTGTGTGTTTACATCATTAACAACTGCACCATATTTATTTATTTATTTATTTTGAACTGCGCTGAACATTTCCATATTAATGCCTTTTGCACTGGTATTTTAAACTGGTTTTATAAGTGGTGCACTGCTGCACTTTATAAGCGGTAATGTTCATTTCCCTGTTGTAAGCTGCTCATTCACTGTTGAAAGCCGTACTCATTGAAATTTCTTTTGTATGCACTGTGTATACAAAATGAAAATAAAGTTTGTCTAAGTTAATCAGCTTTTTACAAACCATTGACTTGCCATTGTTTATTTTTCCGTATTAGAATATAGCTAAACCAAGCTTTTTTCCCTCTTCTCCATGTTTTTCTGCTCCGGTGAAATTTCTCTCCATGTCTGAGGAGCAGCACGGGGTTCTTTGTGCGTCGAGTGGAGAGAGAGCTAAGTTGGCACGCCAGGCTGAGCCTGAGTGCTTTGCCGGTCACGAGTGTCGTGGGAAAAAAGTATTCAACTATTCACCCTAGTTAAATAAAAGGAGATAGATGGATTTCACTCAGTCGGCACATTTATTCAGATCTTTGCAAACGAGTAAAGTTCATCATACAGCCCTTATAGCATGGCATTCTGCCCTGTTATTATGGGAACCCTGTTGTTATGGGAAGAAGCTATGTCTGGTCTACCAGAACACTATCCTGCAGAGAATGGTGTGGCCTTCAAGGTGAAACAGACTGAGTGAAAACTTTTATAGTGAATAAATAGGATAAATTAATATACAATAGAAGAGAAATCAAAATTTTCCGACAACATGAGGGGGGAGCAGCAAAGTGCTGTGACACAGACGGGGAGACTGGTGAATCTGCTGCAGTTAGTGTGGGCAGGAGAGAATGAAAAGTATCGACCTTATTAAACAAGTATTGTTAAATATCAATACCAGCGTTGGTATCGATCCTAGGATCGATCTGCTCACCTCTACTGGTAAAGCCATGATGCAGGGTTAGCGTTGATGTCAACAGTGAGACAGAAATCAGGAACGTAAAGATGAAGACCAACATGTAAGGAAGCCAGGGCGTAGTTGGTGTGATTATTGTTTCAATATTGGTCAGAATCCCTCTTACCAGTACTGTAGCATGGTCATCGAATGTAAACAG